AATTAAAGTCTGTCTGTTAACCAATTCCAGGAAAAGGCACCATATATGTCTTTGACAGCTGATGAGATTATTGCAAAACCAAAACCATATAAAGGACAGTTATGCAAGTCATGTATTAATGTTCACTTTTCCTTATCTCTTTCAGCCTCTCGTTTTGCTTCTGTTGGACATCACTCCCATGTTGCCTGTGCTGGAGGGTGTCGTTATGGAGCTGCAGGACTGCGCCCTTCCACTTCTGAGAGGTACACACACATACAGAATGGAGTGTCATGAGGCCCTGTGTCCTCTCTTTGTGCCAGTCATGCAGTCTTAAAGGCCTGTGTTTTCACTGCACAAATGACAAGAGCTCAGAGCAATCTGATTGGCTGCCTGTATGATCCCCAGCTGAAAAGGCAGCTAAATTTAGGATTGTGGTTCCCATCCGAGGATGATATGGGAAGGTTGACAGTATGTGACCTGTCAAGCGCATGAAACCAGCAACCAAAAATTCAGGAGGCCCACACTGGATGGGTAATACTAAAACATGCCATTGGTCACATTTCACCCATATATTTAATGCATATATATATATATATACACACACTACAGCTCAAAAGCTTGGGATCACTAAGACTTGTAATGTTTTTTAAAGAAGTCTCTAATGCTCATCAAGGCAGCATTTATTTGATCAAAAATACAGGGGAAAAAAACGTAATCTTGCAAAATATTATTACAATATAAAATAATGGTTTCTATTTTAATATACTTTCAAATATAATTTATTTCTGTGATGCAAAGCTGAATTTCCATCAGCCATTACTCCAGTATAAAGTGTCACATGATCCTTCAGAAATCATTCTAATATGCTGATTTATTATTAGAATTATCCATGTTGGCAACAGTTGTGCTGCCAAATATTTTTTGGGAAACGGCAATACTTTTTTCAGGATTCTTTGATGAATAAAAAGTTTAAAAGAACAGCATTTATTCAAAATATAAATCTTTTCTAACATAAATCTTTGCTATCACTTCTTAACAATTTACAACATCCTTGCTGAATAAAAAG